CCCTCCTCATCCATGTTAAATGGGGCACTGCAGGGGGTACCAGCGCTGATTGGTTGGTTCCTGGGCGGGGCTTGTCTCTCATTGGCCTATTAAAACTCCTCAGTGACATCCCACTTCCACCTTCTTGGCATCCCCAGGAGGACAAATTTAGGGAACTGAACCTGCTTCTGGCTAGGACTGGGGGCCCAGTCAAAGGCATCTTCTGATTTGGGTACATTTTGAGGTTAAAAAAAAAAATTCCACACACTATCTGCAAACTGCAGTTGGACTTTGTTCCCAAGGTTTCAACTCTGCTACCCTGAAACGTCCAGAATTGGACCACCCCAAACAGAAGTTTAGGAAATACCCAAATACGGGACTTACCCAAAGTGATGTGGCTCGTGAGTGCAGAGCCAGAGCCTGTGTAGCCCCAATTTTCTAGACTAGCACTACCCAATAGAAATGTAATGTGAGCCACACATGGAAGTTTAAATTCCTTAGTAGTCTCTTTAAAAAACTAAATAGAAACAGGTAAAAATAATTTTAATAATATATTTTATTTACTTAATACGTCCAAAATATTATCATTTCATCATCTAATCAATATAAACATTTATGAGACCTTTTATATTCTTTTTCTCACCCTGCCTGGAAAATTCGGTATGTCTTTTACACTCACAGCGCATCTCAATAGGGACTGGCCACATTTAAGTGCTGGAAGGCTACATGTGGTTAGTGGCTACATATTGGACAGTACAGCTGTAGACCGTCAACTACACTTTACTCAGACTCCCAGTTTATCTGACTTTACAGGCCTGGCACTCAGGATGTGTGGGGTGAGCTAAGGAAGCACAGGGTTAGGGCAGGACCTCCCAGGGGCAGCCTGGTCAGACTTACAGGGTCTAGGCTGGGGCCCCCTGGAGGAGGCAGTAGACTCACCTCTCGGCCCTGTCGGCCCCCAGGTCTGTGCAAGGGGTACAGAGCCAGGATGAGCTGGGAGCTCAGAACCGCCGGCTGCTGCCGGCAGCCCCCAACGCCCTCCACATCCTGGACGGGCCTGAGCAACGCTACTTCCTGGGCCTCGTGGACCTTGCCACTGTCTACGGGCTCCGCAAGCGGCTGGAGCACCTGTGGAAGACGCTGCTTTACCCGGGCCGGACCTTCTCCACCGTCAGCCCAGCTCGCTACGCCCGTCGCCTCTATCAGTGGGTGGAGGCGCACACTGAGTGACTGGCGCCGGCCCGCGTTGTACCCATCTGGACAATGGACGTGCAGAAAGCGGGTCTGGCCTGGGCCGGGCCGCGGGTCGGGCTCACATTGCCTGCTGTTCTCGCCGCTAGCCTCTAGAGGGCAGCATTCCCTAGCTAATACTATGACGACACAGCCTCATTTGATGGTGATGCTGTACCGGGCATCGTGCCAGGGACTCCCCACATTAGCTCATTTAATGCTCAAAAAATGCTATTATTCTCTTTTTACAGACCATGAAATGGAGGCTGAGGGGGTAAAGGGACTGAGCAAGATCTTTCAGCAATAAATGCTGAAACCAAGGCTCTACTGTGCCTTTTGGACTCAGGACCCTGTATTCTTCTTACTCACCAGCTCCCACAGCCGTGTCCTCATGCTCTCGGGAAGAGGGGAAGCTGAGGGCTCCAGCCCAGTACCCGTGTAGTTCAGATGGGGAAACTGAGAGCCAAGGACTTTAAGGGGCTTATGCACGAGTAGGTGGGAAGGCCAGCCCGAGAACCCAGGCCTTCCTATCTCCTGCCCCTGGCTCTAGGAGGGCCCATTGGCGTCCCTCTTGGGTGGCCCCCCTCACTCCTGCTTCTCTAGGGATGTAGGTGGCATACTGGGGGGCCTGCAGCTCTGGGATGCCCTATGTTGTAGCCCACTATTGATCTTGAATAAGCTCTGCCCTCCTCTTAGAATTACTTTTCTCATCTGAGAAATGGGGGCAGGAGTTAGTGGTCAGACCAATGGCCCTGGCCAAATAGACATCGCCAGGAGCAGAGAAGCAAAGTACCTGCTTAACTCCTGATCATTCTTTCTCCCTCCTCCAGGAAACTCCAGCCTGGCCTCTGACATCAGTCCAATCCAACCATGCCCAAGTGGGCCTTTCCTCTAGAGCTGACTGGGACCTGGCTGTGTAACCAGGGCAAGGTGCTAAACCTCTCTGTGCTTCAGTGGTCTAATCTGAATGATGGAAAGGATGCAAATGTACCTCATTAACTCATTAAATATTCATTGAGCACCTGCTATGTGACAGGTCCTCTGCTGGGCTCTGGGGACCTGGGGCTGGAACAAGATGCACAGATTTCACCTTCACAGAACTCACAGTGTGTGTGTGTGTGTGTGTGTGTGTGTGTGTGTGTGTGTGTGTGGCAGTGACAAAAGCAACCTGGTGTGACAAAGCCTTGTGAAGGATCATGGGGCTGTGGAGCTCAAGGACGGGCCCTCACCTAATTACTTAATGGGTGGGCGGCTCTAACCTCTAAACTGAGACCAGAAGAGTCAGGAACAGCCCTGGGAGGGTCCCAGGCCAAGGGCACAGCAAAGGGTTGCGGTGAGAGAGAGCCTGGCACTTGTTTTCACTGTGGTCAGAATTGAGAGTGGGCAGAGACAGCGTTGTGGGGGGCCAAGAGCTGATCCCTGCGACTAGATGACTCGGGACCTTAGGAAAGCCACTAGCAACACTAGACACTGCCATTCCATTAGTCTTCAGAGAAAAAGGGCTGATGGGGAAGGGAGAGCAAAAGGGAAGCTTATGCTGTGGGGCTGGAGTGTGGGTTCCTGGAAACACAGATACAGACACAGATATGGATATGTAATTTATGTCGCCCCTGCTTGTCTGGTGCCCTTGGGTGATTACTCAACCTCTCTGGGCTGACATACCCTGGAGAATTTCTAGTTCTGGCTCAGCAGGAAGTTGAGCCATCCAGAGTATTCATCTCATCATTCCCCCCACCCCCGGGGTTGGGGGGGAGTGTTGTGAAAACTCAGTGGTAGTAGGGCAGCACAGCAGGAAACGAGTTTGGCCCCACATTTTCCTGGGGTCTGGATCCAACAGGACTGAGTTAGAGCCCCAGAGTCCTGCGCTCCTTCACTCCCTTTGGGTCTCTGGCAATGCTCTGAGGCAGGGCTTAAGGCTGGACAGGGAAGTGACTTGTCCAAGATCTCATGAGGTCCAGGACACCTGGCTCTTCTAACTTGCTCATTCAACAGACATTATCGAGTACCTAGTGTGTGCCAGGCACAGTGCAACTGTTAGAAATGCTTTGGGAATATGACTGGCCTGACTCTGCCCACACAGAGCTTGGAGTCTAGTGGACAGGTAGCAAGGAAACCAGTTAATACACAGGGTGATTCCAGAGTGTGACAAGTTCTTGAAAAAGATAAATCAAGGTGGGACAGGAGGAATGGGGGTGCAATGTTGGATAGAATGGTTGGCGAGGACGTGATATTTGAGCTGAATGACAACAAGGAACTGGCCATGTGAATAGAACGGTTCAAGTAGAGGATATAACAAGTGCAAAGGTCCTGAGGTAGGAATGAGTTCAGTGTCATTGGGAGTCAGAAGGGTGGCCAAGGTGGGTAGACAGACAGTGATTAAGAGGGAGGCAGAATTCAGACCGTGCAGGGCCTTGGTCAAGGTAAGGAGAGGGGGCTTTTGCTTCATCTGAGGCTGTGGGACTTCCCAGGGTCAGTCCCACTATGGATGTCTGATCCTCATCTGCTCTGAGAGCCCAGGACATTTGGGCTCCTGTGTGTGGCCCAGCAAAGGAAAGAGTTGCCTCTCTGGAACCGTCATTTCACCAGCCATTGTGGGTGATGAATGAATCCACGGGGAGCTTCTCACCATTGTCCCCTTGGGGCTGGGTCTGTGAGGAGAGAAACTTGACAAATGAGGACCTGGAGGAGGCAGAAGGACTCTGGCTTTGGGGACCCACTCTGTGCCTTGCCTTGTGAATGAGGGGTCACAGAGAGTGACCGAACTTGGACCACTACCCTTGAGATGTCCCTGGGGTGGGGTGGGGGAGACAAGGAGGGCTTGTGCTCAAAGGAGGCCTGGGGGCAGGGCCACTTCAGCAGTGCCCCCTAACAAGATGGGGAGAGGTACGGAGGCCCAGATCATCAGCTTAGGGGACTTGGCTTTGCACCCAGAGCAGGGGAGCCTTGGGAAGTTGCTGAGCTGGGAGCACATACCCAACAAGGATACTCTGACGTTGTGCCCACGCCAGAGCCTGTGAGAAAAAGGAACCACGATTTTGAAATGGGGCTAGACCAGGAGCACAGGCTGGTTACCAGGCCAGGACCCTGCAGAGGGAAGTGGGTGTGGCAGGGGTGGTAAGATAAGCTTTCTGGCCCATGAACATTTTGTAAAAATCACTTTGGGTGGGAAGTATGCTTTCCATTTCACCACAGTCCCACGCCTCCCTATTATCTCATATCTGCTCCTTCAACCCTTTCTGACCCCTGAAGCCACTTGAGTTTGAAATCCCTAAGGGACCCCATCTGAACCTCCCAAACGAGGCACATTTCAGCACTACCAGGGCTCTAGGCTGAGCTGTCTTGGATTTGGAGGACACTTTGGGAAGGGGGCCTTTGGAAGGGCAAGGCAGGCAGTCAGAACTCTGGCTCTGGAGTGAGACTGCTCAGGGTTTGAATCCTGACTCTGCCACAAGCTTCCTTCCCTGGCACTACTCATATCTCACTAGGAGGTGAGTGCTGTTATTATCTCCACTTCACACAGAAAAGCTGAGACTCAGGTAAAGGTCTTAGGGTCAGAGACAGACCAGGGAGGGTTGCCACAGAAAATAGAGGACGCCCAGTTCCCCTGGAATTTCAGATTTTTAATCTAATTATTCATTGTTTAACTGAAATTCCAAAGAAACTGGGTGTCCTGTATTTTACTTGCTCAATCTGGCAACCCTACTGGCTTGAAACTCAGGGCTGCCTGAACCCAAGCCCCTGTTTAATTTCCCTCCATTTCAGAAATGGAGCAACTCAAGTCTGGACCGCCAGGCAGTCACAGTTCAGCGGTACCGTGGGTCTTTCCTCTGCGGGCCGCCCACCCCTACCCCGGGCAAGAGTTTAGGAGCAATGCTGGAGGACGGAAAAGGTGGGGGAAGATGTCGAGCTCAGACTCCACCCCCGGCTGCTGAGGCCCGCCCCCGGCCTGCAGACCTCGCCCTCATCCCGAAGGCCTGGCCGCCGGCAGCGCAATTCCGTCTTCAGCGGTGCAGGCCGCGCTCGTAGGCCCCGCCCCCGCCGTCTCCTCTAGATACCGGCAGATCCCGCCCCCGCCGCCGGCTGCGCGCCCTCCGGCTTCCAGCCTCCAGAAGCTGTAGCTTCGGCACCGCCTCTCCCCCGCGGCTCCGGCTTCCAGCCCGGCTCACCCGGCCCGCGGGCCATGGAGTTCCGAGCAGCGGATGGAAAGCAGCCGGCGCACCCCAACCTGCCCAACCCGTTAGCGCCCGGCTGGGGGAGGGGGCGGTGGCAACGGGGTGAGGGGCAGAAATCTTCCTCCTATCTCGCCCCAGGCCTCTCCATGTCCTGCGGGTAGTGAGGTAGGAGGGTGGGAGGGAGTCGGGGTTCCTGGCTCCTGGTGCTCTCTGATCGAGACTCCATGAATGACCTTGAGCCCAGGGTTCCCCATCTCTGCACAATGGGGTTTGGGTTGGCGGGAGGGTTCCCAAAGGTCACGGATTCCAGCTCCTTCAGGACGGGACAGTGCTGCTTGGTGTTTGGGGACTTTAAGGCGTTTGATTCTCAGAAGCCATCGCCCTTGACCCTGGCCTGCCCTCTCCCCTGCCTCAGTTTCCCTGGGCTGTTTCCTTTGAGGCTTGAGGCCAGCTCTGAGTTTCTGGGTCTTGACAGGTGCCTGGCTCTCACCCCTTCTCAGCGACAGCAGCCCCCCTGCTGCTAAGCGGCAGCGACAGCATGAAGGCTCCGGTAAGTTG